GACACCCCTCCCCCCCAGCTCTCGTTCTCTTGGCCAACACGACACTGTAAACATCCCGCATCTGCCCGTGGTTGAGTAGGGGTTGAATTAAACACCAAAACTCGTAAAAATTGACGTGATTGTGGTGTTTTCGGTTCCTAAATGATGGATGAAGGTAAGGGAACGTTTTGTTGGTTTATATTTGGTTTGTGTATATTATTGAAACCAAGAAATAGCTGCCACATTTTGGTGGGGGGGGGGGCAGTTACGGCCATCGCTCGATAATGTGTTAATAACGTATCTAAAGGAATGAAACTTTAATTATTAGTTATTGTGAAGTTATAGCAGTTCTTTGATAACTTAATCCACGTAATAAATAAAAGGTGTGTACCAATACCTGTGCTCGACTACCTGCAGGTCAGAAACTAGTGGATTACTAGTATTCAGAAACACGAACCACATCAACCACCATCACGCGTGTGACCAGAGTTTTGTGGACGTGACTGAACTAATGTTGTCGACGTGAAATTGGATTTATTGGGTCAGGTCAGGTCAGGTCAGGTATATTTTATGACCTAACAACTATAGAATGTAGCAGTTTGGTACTTCTAAATGTTAATAGTTCTCACTCTACCTTACCTAACCTAACCTAAAATACTAGTTATATTGGATTTTTTTATTCTAAACAAATTACACGAACCAATGGCGAGACAAGGCGAACATGACCTAAAGCCGTAGACGAAAGACGTAACGACCGTAAGAATGATTTGCGCCTAAAGTACTGCTCGTGTATTTATCGTCAGTGTTACGAGAAAGCTTTGATGTTAGGTTAGTGAGAAAGCTTCTATATGCTCTATGGGGATATATCTCTCAGTGCTTGACCTGTATGTAGAGTTCGAAAAAAGGGATTTGATATGACTGAGGAGGGAGCTGTACTGTACAATGGGGATGGTAACCGATACATACACTCATCCGGTTGCTGTCAAAATGCATGTTCATCAACCGGTGTGGAGGGGGTGAGGGACGGTGATGGCGTGAGGGTAATTACATCTGACTGGCTTACCTGGCTGACCTCCACCTGTCTCTATTTTGTATGACCTAACGCACGCACACACACACACGATCCCCATGGCAAAGGGAGGAAAAATGGGACTAATTATACCTTTTAGTGTGTATACTGTACCTTAGTGAAGAGGATTAACTACTAAGAGATATCACAGGTAGATTGAGTGATGGTCAGGGAGGAATTGATTTGATTATGGATGATGTACGTCAAACAGGTGAGTCACAGGTGAGGATTCAATTAGTGAGTGCCAGGTTACGTTAGGTTAGTGTTAGGGTAAGTTAATCTCAGGTGATATAAGCTAGGAGTGCTAATCTTCATGTGATTTTTAACTTCCTTTAAAGTATATTATTTTTACTTGTATCGTAGAGGTGTTAATTAATGAAGTGAGGTAAACCTTGCCTCCACTCCCTCCCACAACCCCCACCCATCCTCCCCCTCCCCCCATCCTCCCCCCTCCCCCTCCCTCCTTCCCCCTCCCTCCTCCACTACTCCACCTCCCATCCCATCCCACTCCTTCAACCCATCCCGCCCCACCCACCCCACCCCAACCCATCCCCCCCTGCCCCAACCCATCCCCGCCCCACCCTCCGTCTCCTATCTAACACTCGTCCTCCATGTTTCAGCAACTTCCAAAACATGGATAAACTGGAGAAGGGACCCAAGGAGATCTTCACCCAGGAGATACAGAAGGTTAGTTACACTCTTGTTTTATCTCCCTGTACATCTCCCTTTTAATCTCCCTATTGTTTGGTCTTAATGTTCCTGGTACTTAATCTCCCTGTTAGTTGGTATTAATCTCCCTGGTACTTAATCTCTCTGATATTTGATCTCCCTAGTAATTTATCTCCCTCGTAGTTACTCTCCCTGGTACTTAATCTCCCTGTTAGTTAGTAGTCTTAATTTCACTGGTACTTGAGTTTTGTCTCCCTGAAGAATGAAGTGTTCTCTCCTTTGAAATCATTCATCTCCCTTAAAAATCGTTTCTATCTCCCTGAAAATCGTGGTGTATCTCCCTGAAAAGTTTTGTTTTATATTTTTTTGGTTTATTTTTTGTTCCCTTAATAAGTATAATTTTTACTAATCAATGGAAATAAATGTTATATTGGTTGGTAATTTGTTCAATAAATCACACTTTATTGTTCATATTTTTATCATGGTTATTTATTTGTTTTAATATATCGGTTTATTTGAGGTTATTCACTTGTTTTCAATACCTGGTTCACCTGCTATCTGCTTTGAACACCTGTATATATCTGGCCTCCACACCTGCTGCAGCTGTTTGTGTGTACTGTGTCATTCACCTGTACAGTATTTTTGATGTTCTGCCTTGCCTTTACACTGAGAGACATTTCTGGTCATTTCTCTGAGATATTTCCATGCCATCGACGTACCGTTACTATTCAGCATTTCACAGGTATGAGGAACACCTGTAGTGGAATTAACTAGTTAGAAATTAATGAGTTGCGGATTTTCTCTAGGTGTTTGGTGCACCTGGTAGACATTACTATTTATTTCCTTTCTTCTTAATTCTTCCTTTCTTTATCTTTTTATCTTTTTGTGTCTTCTTTTTGTGGTTTTTTGTTCCTATTATCATTCTTCCTCTTTTCTTTCTTTCTTTCTGAGATTTTTTAACCTTTTGTTCTTTCTTTGTCTTCATCTTTCTTTATTCTCTCCCTTTCTCACCTTAATTCCGACCCTCGTGTGTGTGTGCGCGTGCGTGCGTGCGTGCGTGCGTGCGTGCGTGCGTGCGTGTGTGTGTGTGTGTGTGTGTGTGTGTGTGTGTCACTCCTTACTCATCCCTTAAGGCATCAAGACACCTCCTACTACTCTTGGGACGCCATCATACATCATCTCCAGATCAACAAACATACAGTACATGGATCCATTTATTCTGAATTTATCACCTGTAGATATTATTATTCACCTGTCTGGGAGATCAATGATGTTCACTCTCTCATCTCTGGTCCAGCATCCGTCTTAATGCTCCTTTATATTATATACTTCTGTTACTTCAATCCTCTTGTTGTTTCCTTTCTCCATAATGGCGTGTGTGTCTCTCTCTCTCTCTCTCTCTCTCTCTGTCACTTCCTCCCCTCTCCTCTCCTCCCCTTCATTTTCCTTCGTCATCTTTCAACCCTTCCTTCCTTCCTTCCTTCCTTCCTTCCTTCCTTCCTTCCTTCCTTCCTTCCTTCCTTCCTTCCTTCCTTCCTTCCTTCCTTCCTTCCTTCCTTCCTTCCTTCCTTCCTTCCTTCCTCCCCTCTCTCCTCAACACCCAGTACTCTCTTTATCCCTATTGAGTTCCATCATCACCATCTCCTCCTCCTCCTCGTTATCCATCATCTGTGTCCACCTTTATCCACATTTCTATTATCGCTTGTCTTTCATTTCCCCATATTTCGTCGTCTTTCTCATTATTCTACCATTTCATGTTAATATTATCTTCTTCCCCTTGTGCGTTCTTCCCTTATTCATTTCGCATTACTTCTCCCTGCTTTATTTTCCTCTATCACCTGTTTCGCCTTTGTCAACCTGTAAATGCTCTCTCTCTCTCTCTCTCTCTCTCTCTCTCTCTCTCTCTCTCTGTTTCACCTGGTGTTCATATGTAGAGGTCCCCAGCTCTCACCTATCTACAGTAACCTTCTCCTGCTTCACACACACACACACTGGGCACTACTCTGAGTATATAAATTAGTCTTACCTCTCTCGTGATAAAGAAATACTCACCATTTCCTCACCCGTCCTCCTCTCCCCTCCTCTCCCCCCCTTCCCCTCCTCTCCCCTTCCCCCTCCTCCCTTAGCCGGCGGAGTGTGAGCATTGTGTAGTTGGCCATTGTGTGGTGTGGGGAGGCCCTTGGCCAATAATTATTGGGGAGGCCATTGTGTAACAATTATTAGGGGAGGCCCTTGTGTGGAGTAGAAAGGGAAAAAGCTGACTCCATCTGTTCCCCATCTGCTTACATGTTGACCAGCTGACCACACAGCTGGTCTCTTCTTATATTTATTGTGCTACGTGTGGATGTGTGTGTGCCAGGGGTGTGGATGTGTGGGGTGTGGATGTGTGGGGGTGGATGTGTGGGGTGTGGATGTGTGTGGGGTGGAGGTGTGGATGTGTGGGGTGTGGAGGTGTGGAGGTGTGGATGTGGGGTGTGGGGGTGTGGATGTGTGGGGTGTGGATGTGTGGGGTGTGGATGTGTGGGGTGTGGGGGTGTGGAGGTGTGGGGTGTGTGGGTCTGTGTATTTGTTTGTATTTGTGTGCATATTGGAGTGTGTGAGTGTGTGTATGTTTGGGTGTGAGTGTGTAAGCATATGTGTATTTGTGTGATTTGTGTGTGTATTGGTGGATGGATAGGTGTATGTATGTATGATGAGGATATGTGTATCTATGAGTGTGTATTATTTATCTATGTATTATGGTGTGGGTATGTGTGTATGTATGTATATATATATTTGTGTATGTATCAGTAAATCTAGAATATATTTATGTATCCCAAGTGTAAGACTGAGATACAGGTCAAACTCGTATACAAACCCGGGAACAATATGTGTGGTCGGTGTTATGAGGGCCATGGCTTATTAGCTGGCCAGGTGAGGGGGGGAGGGAGGGTGTTATTAGTTGGCCAGGTGAGGGGGGGAGGGAGGGAGGGAGGGAGGGTGTTATTAGTTGGCCAGGTGAGGCGGGGGGAGAGATATAACGCCACATAATACCCAACTACCTCACCTTTTCTCTCTTATCACCTCTCACATTATTGTCTTATTACTTAGTTGTCTCTTCCTCACATGTTATCTTACCCCCCGGGAAGGTTAAGAGGATGTTATCTTTTATAACTTCACAGGATGATAACTTGTCTCGAGATAACAAGTGATATAATCTTTAACCTGGGGGTCATAAAGGGTGTTATCTTGTCACCTCTTTCGTTTGATAGAGGGTGATGGTGTAATATTAATTAGGAAAATACTAATAATAAAAGGTGATTTGTCGGCTTATGACTACACCTTGGTTGTTGGTCCTGGTGACGACGAGGTGACTCCACCGTTAATAAATTTGTCTTCCGAATCATGAATCAAATCCTCATTCAACATTAAACTAAACGAATATTATCCTCTATGGCTTAGGATAACTACTCTATTGTTGTTATAGTCACGGAGTCAAAAATCAAGGTGGTCTATGCTATAAAAATTTATTTATTTTAGTTTTCGATTCGATTTAGTGTAGTTACCTCTTGTTATGTGATAAAGTCGTTTTCTGTGTATAGTTTCGTAAGGTTGGTGTCTGGAGCTAGTGCTAGTAGTATCGTGTGGGAGCCAGTACTATCGTGTATGCTGGTACTATCGTGTGTGCTGGTACTATCGTGTGAACTAGTACCATCGTATGAGCTAGTACCATCGTATGAGCTAGTACTAGTAGTATAACCAGGCTTCCCCCATTCGCCTATCGTAAAAAAAATATCCAGCGTTTCCTACACCCGGCGACACAGCGGCTATTGTATCAACCTTCTCTCAGCCTGTCAGTCTTACGTGACGTCAGGCCTGGCAGACTGAGTGAAAAATTTTGTACCTAAAGTTTGACGAAAAAAAAAAACGAACTAACTAGAATTTCCTTTTGGTGTAACTCCGTGTGGAAATAAATACTCAAAGTGGGAATTAATTGGGAAAATAAACAGAAAGTGGGAATTAATTGGGAAAATAAACACAAAGTGGGAATTAATTGGGAAAATAAACACAAAGTGGGAATTAATTGGGAAAATAAACACAAAGTGGGAATTAATTGGGAAAATAAACGCATATTCTGCTATAAACTCCATGGTCGTTTTCTCTCGAATATAAACACTAGCATGTCGACATTAATGCCACATGAGGAACAATCAGGGAATTTTAAGCTGAAACTGTTCCAGAATTTATACTTTAAGCTCCTGGACATTTAAACTGGACATGGGAGAATTGATTTTTTTTATTAAGCTGGAATTATTTAGGTGATGGGAGCAGAAGATGGGAAGGAGTGGTGATATGTTTACCATTTATTGTATATATGTGAGAGAGAGAGAGAGAGAGAGAGAGAGAGAGAGAGAGAGAGAGAGTTTGGTAGACATTGTTATAACCGTATTCCTTCTCCTCCTCCTTTTTCCTCTTCCTCTTCCCCTAACCTCCTCCTCCTCTTCCTCTTCCCCCGACCTCCTCTTCCTCACTCCCTCCCTCCCTCCAATCTCTTCCTCACCCTCCTCCTCCTCCAGACCATAAGATTGGTCTCACTTGAAGCTGTCATGTAATTCATCTCCGTCTAAATAAAACACTGAAACTCATATCACACCTTTTACTACTTCACAGGCTGCTGGGTTAGGTTAGGTCCACTATGTAACTGGTCTCCCCACCCCACCCCCTTCCTCTCCCCACCTCCCCTTCCTCCCCCCACCTCCCCCTTCCTCTCCCCATCCCCCTTCCTCTCCCCCATCCCCCTTCCTCTCCCATCCCCCCTTCCTCTCCCCATCCCCCCCCTTCCTCTCCCCCACCCCTCCCCACCCCACCCTTCTCTCCCCACCCCACCCCTTCCTCTCCTCCCCCACCCCTCCCCCACCCCACCCCCTCCCACACCCACCCCTTCCTCTCCCCCACCCCACCCCTTCCTCTCCCCCACCCCCCCTCCCCCACTTCCCTCTCCCCCCCACCCACCCCCTTCCTCTCCCATCTCTCCCTCCCACCTCCCCTCCCACCTCCCCCTCCCACCTCCCTTCACCCCCACAACTCGGCCACGTCGCTACAAATGGACCAAAAATTGAATTCCAGACCTTGAAAAACAAACCCCGAATACCAAATGACTTGTGTGTGCTTCATGCCAGGTTTTTTGTGTTTTGGGGGGTCCTTTTTTTTCTTACTTTTTTTTCGCTGTTTATATCCGTCTAGGATGATGTTATTGTTCGGGTTTTTTCTTCGATTTTATACTTTTTCTTTAGTTACTTTTTTGCATTTATTCTTTTTTTCGTTTTTCTGTGTTTTGGTGTTTTTTTCAGTGTGTTTAATTTTTTATTTTTTTTCTCTTTCTCACCTTTCTTTATTCTCTATTCTCCCTCTCCGCCCCTCTCTTCCTCTAATCCATTCCTCTCTCCCACTCTTATTCCCCATTTCTCCTCACTCCCTCTTCACCCACTCCTCTCTGCCTCCTATATTTCCAATTCTACCTGCTTGCCTCCCCTCCATCTCCTCCCTCCTCCCTGCCCCCCATCTCTCCCTGCCCCCATGTACCCCTGCCAAAAGCAATTTATCTCACCTCTCCTCACATCTGCCTTAATATAATCAATGGACCACCACCACCTGCCTCCCACCTGTAGTGCGCTTCTCTCTCTCTCTCTCTCTCTTCCTACCATTAGTAGTAGCCATAAGTAATCTTTAGCGTCAGAATCACGTACTTTATTACTTTACACTTACTTAAATACTTTACTCACATTCCTCGTTACAACACACATTAAAGGAAGAAGATCAACCCATTTTTATTACTTGGGTTAGTTAGGCGTTTATGGTTTACTGAGTTATGGGTTAATAATGCGGGCTGGTGTGGGTTAATGGTGCGGGTTAATGGTGTGAGTTGGTGTGGGTTAATGGTGCGGGTTGATGTGGGTTTAATGGTGCGTTTTGGTGTGGGTTAATGGTGCGGTTTGGTGTGGGTTAATGGTGCGGGTTGGTGTGGGTTAATGGTGCGAGTTGACGTGGGTTAATGGTGTGGGTTGGTAGGAGATTAGTTGACCAAGATAATTTTCATTCCTCTTCTTTCCCCTTTTTCATTTCTTTTCTCTCCCTCCCTCTCCCTCATCCCCTCCCCATCCTCCCTCTCTCCTCACCTTACATCACCCTACCTTACCTCGAACATAATTATAACCCTTAATTACTGATTCTCTTTATCCTCACTACACTGCTTTACTCTTTTGAAGGGGTGAGAGGAGGAAGAGGAGATGGGGAGGTAGGAGGAGATGGAGGAAGGGGGGAGAGGAGCAGGAAGGGGTGGGAGAGGGGGTGGTAGGAGGAGGGGGAGGTGGTGGTCGTTTACTGTTTTGATTGAGTCGTTGCTTAAGTGTTTGTAGTCGTGTGTGTGTGTGTGTGTGTGGAAGGGGTTATATAGGAACTGGAGTGTGAGTATGTGGGGTGGGGTGTGTGGGGGTGGGGGTAAGGTGTGTTGAGGTGGAGTGTGTGTTGGTGTGAGGTGTAGAGGGATGTGTGGGATGTGTGGAACAGGGGATGTGCGGTTGGGTGCGGTGGGTGGGGTGGGTGCGTGAGGGTGGGTGGGTGTGTTGGGTAAGGATGGGGAGGAAACAGTGGAGAGTGTTCGTATCGCCTGCATAAAGGAAGTGATGGAAGAGTTACGAAATATTGGAGAGAGAGAGAGAGAGAGAGAGAGAGAGAGAGAGAGAGAGAGAGAGAGAGATATAGAGAGAGATACTGTATTTTTAACTTTCTAATTTTTGCCGTCTTTGGTACCAGGAAGATACTCAAACTTGTATTTTTTTCCTCGTCATAAAAATATTGAGAAATTTATACTTTTTCCTTAGACATGAAAAAAAAACTATTTTTTTCTTACGTTTGTGTTTAGGTACAAAAATATTAAAATACTCAGACTAGTTTTAATTTACATACGAAAAAAATAATCTTCAATACTTCCTTTTTTTGTTTTTTTTTAGAAATAGATAAATTCACTTAAGCTCTAAATATTATTAGAAGGAATTAAAAGTAAATATTACTCGAATAAACACTTTATTTCATAGGAGTAACGAGAGCAAGAGGAGGTAATGTTTGTTAGTCTATACTGGGGAAAAAAAGAGGTGCTAAATCATACCCTCGTGCATACTGGGGAAAAAAATCGTAAGTCGTAAGTACGGATCACCTAATTGACCCTATATCAGTAATTTTCTAAGTACGGATGACCTTATTAAACACGGATTACGTACGAATTACCAAAAACTTCCCAACCAGGAATGACTTACCCCTTTACGGACATCCCACGTACATTAAACCACGAGTTAATGACGAGATATGATAATAATAATCGTCACTTAAGTGTTTTTCTTTAAATTCCTCTTATCTCTTCATTCTCTCTCTTTATCTCTCTCCCTCGACTACTCTTGAGAGATTCCTTTGAAGGTCGATCTCACAGTGTATCCAAGAGCGTATTTTATTAATTTTTTTTAGGTATTTTTTTATTTTTATTTTTTTTTACCATGTAGTAGTTTGGGAAAAGTTAGAGTTTTGTTTATACTACAGTCTGAGTTTTTTTCCTCTTGTGTTTTTATGACTTGATTTTAGTTTTTAAAGTCGATTTTTTTACGCTTAACCCGCCTCCCACTCGGCTCCCACTCGTCTCACCACCTACACTTACTCGGCTCCCACTTGTCTCCCACCTATACTTACTCGCCTCCCACCCGTCTCCCACCTATACTAACTCGCCTCCCACCTTTGAGGATAAACGTCTGTCCGTGTCTCAAAATACCGACATTTTTGTAACTTTTTTAGTCTAACTTAAATAAATAAAAAAATGTTAATGGTGTTTGCTTCTACTTTTTAGTTCGACTTTTTCACGTCATTTTTTTTTTGTTTCTTGGTGAGGGAGGGAGGGGGGGGTGTTGAGGTAGAGAGGGCTGGAATCATACCTGTGCTGACGTCATAAGCTTACGCCATTATTGAAAACCTTTATAATAATAATAATAATAATAATAATAATTAACGGTTTATTGAAAGAGCTTGGCAGCCAGAAGGCTGAAAATATACAGTTACATATTTGGGGAATGGGTTTCGAATTACAAATAATATACAAGTAACATAAGTGACACAAATAAGATATATAATAACTAGATGGGGAAAAGCTCAAACTACAGTTCATTTCAACATAGTGACAGTGTAAGGAGTAGTGTTTACTGGGAGTGAACACACTGGTTTATTACAAGTTATTGATAATTTTTACAATGGTTGGGACTGGGCTGTTCTTATAGCGATCAGTTCGTGCACGTATGGGCTGGATGCGGTTGTGGTGTCGAACAGCAATTCTCGGACTAGGGATCTCAGGTGGTAGTAGGAGCCGGTGTCGAGGATGGTCTAAAAGCTTCTTACCAAATTTGCAGATGAGGTCGTGGTGATGGTCAGTGAGAGTCGAAAGGGTCAGTGTGTTGAGCGCTTCTTGATATGTGGAGTAGGAAGGGGAGAGAATAATCTTGCATGCCCTCTTTTGCACTCTTTCTAGGTGTTTACGTTGTGTGGCATTTAGGGAGGAAGACCAGGTGGGGGAGGCATAGGTGAGCTTGGGAAGTATGAATGTTGTGTAAACACTGAGGAGCTCGGGTGTGTGTGTGTGTAATTTATTAATTTTTACTTTTTTCGTTCTTGCAATTTGTTTTGTTTTCATTTTTTATTGTCCAGATCTACTTATTCATTATTTATTTATTTTGTTTATTCAGTTCTTGTATTTATTTTTTATGAGGATGTTCTTAATTTATTTTATTATTAATTTACACTTTACATTATAGCAATTTTAATAATTTGATTCACTCAATTATTCATTTATTCATTTTTAACCTGATTACATATTCATTTATTTATATTAATTAATATATTATATATATTTTATGTATTGTTCTTCGTTCATTCGTTTATTTATTACCAGTTTATTCATTTATCTACTTCTTATATGTTTTGTCTTATCTTATTAAATGCGTCTGTAGCTCTATGAATGCCTGACCTTATCGACTGACCGACTGATTCAGAAGAAAACAAACTTAGCCAGACCGCACTAACGCAGCTTACGACCAGTGTGTTGTCGGACCTGTGAGACGGATGACCTGAAACTAACCTGACCTAACCTGACCTGTCCTGTCCTGTCCTAACCTAACCTTGTTGTAGGACCTCTTACCACTCATTGACCTATTAATAACCTGACCTTACTTCAGGACCTGATAGTGACCTGACCTTATTGCAGAACCTGGTGGTGACCTGACCTTATTGCAGGACCTGATACTAAATGACCTGACTCTTTTATGGGACCTGATAGTGATCTGACCTTATTGCAGAACCTGGTGGTGACCTGACCTTATTGCAGGACCTGATACTAAATGACCTGACTCTTTTCCAGGACCTGTTGTTACTGGAGGAACAAGAAGGCTCCGTCAACTTTAAGTTCGGCATCTTGTACATGAAGACTGGCCAGACCTCTGATGACGAGATCCTCAGTAACGGTGAGTGGGGGTTGAGAGGGATGTGAGAGGGAGGGAGAGTGGGGGTGGGAGGAAGAAAGTTGGAGAGGAAGAGTGGGAAAAGGAGAGATGGAAGAAGGGAAAGACTAATGAGAAAGGAGGGAGGGAGAGAATAGGAAGAGAATAGCGTGAGGAATGGGAATGGGAAGGGGAGAGAGAGAGAGAGAGAGAGAGAGAGAGAGAGACTTCAAGATAAATGGAAGATTAACGAAAGCAACAACAGACAGAGATAATAAACAAATGGATATAAGAGTCATTAGCAGATAATTAAAGGTTAATGATAGTAATGTGAGCTAATTAACCCACATAAGCTGAAGCCACAATTAATGGTCACGGAAGCTGAAAATCAAACCTATTGATAATTAACCTCACGTTCCCTGATGTAGTTCCCATAACCCTAAGTCACTTTACACCTGCTCTAACATCAACAATTAATGACAAAATTCACAAACTTGCCAACTGCACTAATCTAGGTTACGTAATTAACGAGTAAATAAAGGTTTAGTTGGTTTTAATTTCATTGTTAGATATTTTTTGGCGATTTTTTTTCTTAATTAAAATTCTACGACAGTTTATTAGATTTTGGGGGGATTTGTGGTTTTTATTTTTTATTTTTTTTCTATTTTTTTTTGGGGGGGGGGATTTTTCATTACGTTTCTGGGAAGTTCAAGTATATTTTAATTTGTGATTTATTTTTGTTTAAGGAAATTTGTACTCCTGGAACCAACCTCATTAATAACTCTGTAAGGAATATAGTGACAAATCTTTGAGTACATTATTTCTAACCTTGAGTACGATCATATAGTACTCAGGAAGGTTAAATCATCGTGTTCAAGGGTTCACTATTAACTGTACTCTGAATATTAACTAATTAATGAACTGTTCAACGTTGTTCATTAATATTATCTCAAATTTACTGTGTTCTATCCGGCCTAATTATCATAACATATTTACTTGGGCCTAATACACCTTGATTAATTACAGTTAATTAGTCGAATGTGTTTACCTGTATCTCAGTAAATTCCTTCAATAATTCTCTTGGTATTTTAAACACCATTAAATTCTATTCATTATTATAGAAACTTAAAGAAAAAATACTTATGATAAAAATTGTTTAAGGTCTTGTCAAAATCATTCTTTTACTTTTATATTATGATGAAACAAAAAAAATACGTAATACTCGTTTCTATAAAGTTGTATAGGTAGATAGTGATAAAATTCAGTCAGTCAGTCAGTCACATTAGTCATTTAGAATTGATGTTCCATAGAGATGACTGACATAGCTGTTCACAAGTGTACCTGTATATATGAACAATTAGGGTAAGGTTGTTCATAAGCTTAACTATACAAACAGCTGAGGCAAGCAATCCGAACAACCTCAGTCAGAAAACGAACCCACCCCCACACCACCTCACCACCACCCCACCCTGACCCCCACCCCCACACCACCCCTCACCACCACCCTACCCCACCACCACCCCTACCCCACACCACCACCTCTACTCCCACACCACCACCCCACCCCACCCCACCCCACCACACCACACCCCACCCCACCCCACCCCACCCCCACCCCACCCCACCCCACCCCACCACCACCACCACCCCTCACCACCAATTTAATCTCCCCACCCCACAAGTCATCACCCGAAAACTCGAACGTAAATCAGAAGTCTTCATAAAAAGGCGAGAAACGAGTGGACTTCCTTTATCATCTGGAGGACAGGAAAAACTTTGTCCCAGGGTTCATCTTGATAAAGAGAGAGAGAGAGTTTTGAGGAGATGGAAGGAGAATAAGAGAGAGGGGTGAGAAGAGTGTGTGTGTGTGTTGTTTTATTTGGGTATATCAGACACGAGAGTAAAGTGGATGTGAGGTGAGCTGGACAAAGAGACAGAAATTGTGTTACACAACACCACAACACACTACGCTACACCACACTACACTACACCACACTACACCACACTACACTACACTACACCACACTACACTACACCACACTACACTACACCACACTACACCACACTAAACAACACACTACACCACACTAAACAACACACTACACTACACCACACTACACTACACTACCACACTACACACACTACACTACACTACACTACACTACACCACACTACACTACACCACACCACACTACACTACACTACACTACACTACACCACACTACACCACACTACACTACACCACACTACACCACACTACACTACACCACACTACACTACACTACACTACACTACACCACACTACACTACACTACACTACACTACACCACACTACACTACACCACACTACACTACACTACACTACACTACACCACACCACACACACTACACTACACTACACTACACACACACTACACCACTCTACACTACACTACACTACACACACCACACCACTACACTACACACACCACACCACACTACACACACCCTCTACTACACTACACCACACCACACCACACTACACTACACACACACACTACACTACACCACACACACTACACTACACTACACCACACCACACCACACTACACTACACTACCACTACACCACACCACACTACACACCGCTCCACTACACTACACACACACCACACCACACCACACACACTCACTACACTACACCACTCTACACTACACTACACACACCACACACCACACCACACACACTACACACACTACACACACTACACCACTCTACACTACACCACACTAAACAACACACTACACTACACCACACTACACTAAACAACACACTACACTACACCACACTACACTACACCACACTACACCACACTACACTACACCACACTACACTACACTACACTACACTGGTATAATCAAGAATTCTACCTCTTCCGCCTCTGCTCCTGGATAACTCCACACTTCCTCTTCCTTCTAACCCTCTCTTCCTCCTCTTGCTCTTCCTCTTCTATTATACCTCCTCCTCTTGCTCCTCCTCTTCCCCTCCTCTTCTATTATGCCTCCTCCTCTTGCTCCTCCTCTTCTATTATGCCTCCTCCTCTTCCTCCTCCTCTTCTATTATGCCTCTTCCTCTTCCTCCTCTTCTATTATGCCTTCTCTTCTTCCTCCTCCTCTTCTATTATGCCTCTTCCTCTTCTTCCTCCTCTTCTATTATGCCTCCTCCTCTTCCTGCACCACACGCCGAGACGGAGCAGTTGTGATATAAAGCTGAGTGGAAGGAAAAAGCCAGGAATGTTTATATGGAGAGAGAGAGAGAGAGGCGACAACTCTCCAGTATTCCATCGGTTATTCACCAAGCTGGAGATGCGCTGAATCCTGGCTTAACTCAGCTTAACTCAGCTTAGCTAACCATGCCAGTCATCTAAAAAAAATTACAATAAAAAAGTTTGAGAGAAGAGAAAGTTTCCAAAAAGTTTATAGGAAGGAGTTTTGGCCGGGATTAAGGAAGAGTGATGAGGGATAAGCCCTTTTGCCCCTGTGTTTCCATACAGGCGAGGTGGGTATTAAACAACCTCGCTTGTGTAGAGATGCAATGGTAGAAGGGTGTATGCGCCACCGCCACCACCTACCACAACAGACTATGGGGTGAGTATAGGTATACAGATACAGTTATGTATGTGTTTCTATAATGATAAAAACTGTGAGTATAATTGGTATGATATATTAGTAATGGTGATGAAAGTAATAATAGTAGTAAGGATAACACATAATAGTGTTAATAATGATGATAATAAGC